GATTTTCGCCAGCCCTCCCCAGATGCAGCGCAGGGTCCTCATTATTTGCAACTCTTTCTCTCCAGTATCCTTTGAGGGGTCCGGGAGGCAGGAGCAGCGTTGTTCTAAGCCTGTGGCATGTCCTGGCAGCCTGGCCGCTCTTAAAAAACTCAGAAAAAGTCGTGTCTTCTCTCCCGGGGGCTGAGGAGGCGGCCACATCTGCTGGGTAGCGGGTGCAGTGCCCGTCCGCTGCACTTGTTTATTGTCGCGCCGCTGGTGCGAGCCAAGCTGCAGCAGACATGATGGGCCCCGGGCGAAGCGGGCGCCCAGTGGCCGGTAGATGGCAGCCGAGGGCGAAGGCGTCTCTGGCCTCTGGAGGCGCAGCCAGAGCCCACTTTCGATGTCACATTCGTGGAGACAGAGGAGTCTTGGACCATGTGCGCAATTCGAGCGTAGGAGTGTGCAATCGTCTTCTTGGAAAGGGAGGACTGGAAATAACCCTGACAGTGCTAGGCTTGGCGGTGACGAGGGACAGATGATTGCAACTGGTTGCCGTTTGCCCAGATGCCTCTGCTCTGTTTGAGACAGAGTCCATACAGCTGCTTCTAGAGTCTCCCGTAAAGAACCCTGGAGGGAGTGGCTCGTCCTAACTATACAGAGTGAGTTATTTTTATCTTTATCTTTTTTTTTTTTTTAAGAATCACGTTTTATAAGTATGTCGGGGCGGTTCTCCGGAAGGAAAGTGAATACACTAAGCAAACTAGGAAGCTGGAAGCAACTGTAAACGAGGCAGCGTCTATTGAAAGCCAGTTTGTGGAAGCGTTACCTGATTCTCTGGATGGTAAGTATGACTGGGTTCTTCCAGAAAACCAGACAACTTTGCTCCCCTATAAGGAGGTCTGTGTATTCAAAGCATGCGTTGGGGTTGGTAGGCCTACAGTCTTCACAAGGGGCAAAGGAAAGTTGTTTAGAGTGAGTGGCCCAAGGCAGGCTGCTCACAGGCTTCATACTGTGGTATATGGGTACTCCTGTCATGGAAACACATTTTTCTTTTTCTATGATAGAATATTGCTCTAAACATAAAAGGAATTCTCGGAGTTTTAGTTTCGGGGACATTATTGTGGATATACTCTTGTCAAACATGTGCTCGATACAAAAAGAATCCAGAACCTGTGTGTGTGTGTGTGTGTGTGTGTGTGTGTGTGTGTGTGTATAAACAGGTCTTTACAGCATCCATCTGTGTTGAATTTCAAGGACTTATATTGAGGTAGTGAATTATTTCAACCTCTTGAAATGTGTAATGCTTTTAAAATTTCCTCTAAATATTCTGTGTATATATTTTTAGCTGACCCATGAGCACTTTGAAACAGTTTTGTGTATTCCATGCAAGTTTGTGTACCCTACAAGGGAGAAAAGGACTGATATGTGCGTGATGTCAGATGATGAAAATCTTAGAACTCTATTAAATTTGCATATTTGTCATAGGAATGGTAGCGACTGGCCTTGGGTATGCATCAAAATTTACTTTAAAAGCAATAGTCGGTGTATCATCATTGAGTTATTTATCCTATAATCTGACATAAAAAGTAGAAATGTTCCTTTAAAGTGAAAAAAATCACCTATATATTTCAAAATTGTGACTATTTAATTTTACAGGTGCACTGAGTCCTGTCAGCAGCTTAATAGTTAAT